CCACGAATATCTAATTCCCTTTGAAAGCTGTTTCTTCCTGTGGCCATCGCTACATCCTCTGGCAGTGAATGCCACATTTTAATCACTCTCTGTGTGTAAAGTAGTATTTCCTTTGGTCCGCCCTGAACCTACTGCCCCTCAGCTTCATTGGATGCCCTCGAGTTCTAGTCCTTCGGGAGAGGAGAAGAAGAAGAAGAGATTGGATTTATACCCTGCCCTTCACTACCCAAAGGTGTCTCAGAGCGGCTTACAAACTCCTTTCCCTTCCCCTCCCCACAACAGACACCCTGTGAGATGGGTGGGGGCTGAGAGAACTCTGACACAAACTGCTCTTTTTCAAGAACAGCTCTTGTCAGAACTGTGGCTTGCCCAAGGTCATCCAGCCAGGTGCAAGTGGAGAAGTGGGGAATCAAACCCGGTTCTCCCAGATTAGAGTCTGCACACTTAACCACTACACCAAACTGGCTCTGCCAACTCTCTCCACCCCATGCGTAATTTTATAAACCTCTATCCTCTCCCCCTAGTCGTCTCTTTTCTAAACTGAAAAGTCCTTTCCCTCCCCCTCCCCACAACAGACACCCTGTGAGGTAAAAGAAGAAGAAGAAGAAGAGATTGGATTTATACCCCGCCCTTCACTACCCAGAGGAGTCTCAGAGCGGCTGACAAACTCCTTTCCCTCCCCCTCCCCACAACAGACACCCTCTATGAAATAGGTGGGGCTGAGAGAGCTCTTTTTCAAGGACAGCTGTGTCAGAACTACGGCTTGCCCAAGGTCATCCAGCAGCTGCAAGTGGAGGAGTGGGGAATCAAACCCGGTTCTCCCCGATTAGAGTCCACACACTTAACCACTACACCAAACTGGCTCTTTTCTCCAGGGGGATCTGATCCCTGTAGTCTGGAGGTCAATTGTAATTCTGGGAACTCTCCAGACCCCACCTGGAGGCTGGCAACCCTATGGATAACCCCATCTTGGCTTTAATGCACATTAAAAAAACCCTCTGGGGCAGATCTTCGACCGAAGCAAGGAGGAAAGTCACGTAAACATTTGCCTCGCATTTATAACCCCGTTGCCGAGGATAAAAAAGCTGATTGCTATGCCAACAATAAACCACAGAAACGTTTGACAACAAAGCCAGATGTGTTTCCCCAAAGATTAATTGCCCTTGTCCTCTTTATCCCTGATGTACACTTGGGATGTGCGTATTTCCCGGAGCTCTACAAGACTTATTCTGTAGCAGAAAGAACAACAGGAATGCAAATCCCAAACACCAAATGCTGTCATCCACGTTTTGCCTACAGGCCATCTCCAATTTACTCCATTTACACTCCACCTTTCTCTTGGGCTGCTGAGGAAGGAGAGAGCAGAAATTTTACCACAACCCTCAGAGATAGATTAGGTTGTGTGTGTGTGACTGGCCAAAGGTCACCCAGCAGGCTTCCATGGCCGAGCGGGGATTCGAACTTGGGTCTCCCCGATCCTAAATCCGAAACTGTAACCACCACATCACTCTGGCTCTCTCTGCATGATCGTGTCAGCACAAGCCCATTTTGGATAACGGCGCGAAAGAAGCTGCTATAGCATGCAGTTGTGTGACAGACATGCAAACTAGATGAATGATCAATCCTCGGTTTGAATTTTATCAGTGTGGAAAGCCTTAAAGGATCGGTAAAGGAGGTCACTTCTATATTGCAACAGGAATAAACATTAACTATAGGTGGATTCCCCCGTTAGACCAATATTTTTTTCCCTCTCCCCAGTGGTCACGTCAATTTACAGTACTAGTGGTGTTGAAAGAGCTTCTCCCCTGAGGCAGAGGACATCTTGTGGGTGATTCCCACCCTTCTTCAGGGAGGCAGGACTAAGTCAAAAACTTCTTCCTGTTTCCTGGTGGGAGTCACCCAGGCTCAGTTCGCTTCCTGCCTCAGTAAGGGAGAGCAGCATAGGGATTAGCTCTGCTAACACCTCTTCACAATCTTACTACATTTTATCTTCCTCGACTTTTTCTCTGGTCTTTTACTTCTCTAATCTTCTAAACTTAACAAAAAAAAAAAAAACCTAGCCTCTCCTTTCTCCCCTCCCCGCTCCTCACGGGGCAATAACTGTCGAATAGTTTCCGTTAGAACAGAGGCCTTCACTTCAGAGCCTATTATGGCACACAAGGGAGAAAATGACGGTTTCCTCTCGGCGCCCGAAACAGAAACCGACGGGCATTTGCTAAGCGGCCGCGGCACGGCAAAACGCATCGCCCCTTCGTCCGGGGCTGAGAGAGACGACGCCGCAGAGCCAAAGCGCGCCAAAATGAATATACGCGCATCTCATGAGCCCGATTCGGAAATGGCGGCCATTTTAACGACTGATAGCCGCATTTACATACAAGACGGGGACGGCCGACATTGCCTAAACCCGCGTCCCGAAACTCCCGGCTCCTCAGGTTTGAGCGGGAATAACCAAGTCATCCCTAGATACAGGGAGTCCGAAGGCCAGGATGTTGGGACACCAGTCATCAGGAGCGGTAACGTTACGCTTAGCCCTCCCCCCCATCTCTCCCGGAGCGATGGCGTTTTTCAGACAGGCAATGAGAGAGGAGATTGCCAGCTTTTATGGAACGGGCGGGCACATCCACCGCCATTCCCAACGTCGTCCCAGGTCTCCCCCTTCTCGCTCCCCATCCCCCTTACCTCGTGAGCCCAAAGGCCCCGGTAAATGGCCTACTAAGGCTTCCAGGAAGAGGTTCCCTCAGGGTCCTAATGACAGCAGACCCTATCAGGCAAAAGTTAGATCCCGGGGAGCCGAAGAGGCGCAGGCCTTTTGGTGTGACTGTGACCAAACAATCGCTGCCTTTGTGAAACGCCTCGGCAGTTTTATCCGGAGGATTTTCCAAGTTCAAAACAGTACGTTATTTTAAAACACCAAACAGTTCTGGAAGTGCCGTACCTGGACGGGTAGCCGGCTGCGCTGATGCGGATCGTCTCCAGCACTCCGCAGGCTCTCAGCTGCTGCACCGCTCTCTTTGGATCGAAGCTGCAAAGGCAAAACGTACGGCATTGCTTGAGGATGGGGACACAATACACCTGAGGTCTCGCTGGCACCCTTTTCTGCTCCTGCTGCTTCTGGTATCTGCCTTGCCCTCCTCTCCCCTGCCTGCAACGTGGCCAGCAGTCTGAAATGGGATCAATCAGTGCAGGGGTGCCGAACTCATTTGTTAGGGAGGGCCGGATTTGATCCAAATTGGACTTTGCTGGGCCGGGCCATGGGTGTCATAAAATGTAATGCCAGGTAATAAAACAGAAATCCAGCGGCACCTGAAGGACCACCCAAATTTCTTCCGGCATAAGCTTTCGTGAATCAGGGCTTGCTTCTGGATCCTTACGAACGCCGCGCGCGCGTTCTACATCTGAGCTGTGACCCCTTTCCAAATTAACGTGCATTAAAGAGGACCACTGATGTGACAGGAAAAATTATTATTATCATCATCATTATTATCATTATTAGGGGTCATTTCCTGCAGGAGCGCACAGGAGCAGAGCTCCAGCAGTAAAAAGCCCAGGGGGTGGGCACATGCAACAAGCCCTGCCCCCTGCTCCTTCTCTCCCTCTTTCTTTCCCTCT